TTAATAGCGTTTGTTACTTTATCCCACATCACATTTGCTTCTTCTTAAAGTGTTATAAATCTTTATGCATAGATTTATAACACTAATGTTATAAATCTATGCATAAAAATATATATTTCACTTTTTAAAACTAATATTAGTGATATTTTTAATGTGATATTGAAAAATTAAGTAGTATGCATATAAATATGAAAAATTTAATATTAGATATAATTTGTGTTTTATTAGATCCACTCTTATAAGTAATAAGATGTTCATCTCTTTTCTTGAATAAAGTATTAGTAATAACAAAATCAAACGCTAAAGCAAAATCTAAAATAACTTTACCTTCTTCATTAGTTACTCCAAAACCGTAGCCACCATGAATATTTCTGAAATCTTCTACCACTCTACCGACATGTCCATTTAAATCTCCTCCAATAAAAATTCTTTCTTCAAGAGGTATCATTTGTATTAAGTCTTCTAAGTCATTCCAAAATTTATCTTTAGACTCTGTATCTAAACCTACTTGAGGAGCATAAGCACTCATAATATTAAAAATCTTAGTATCAATGATAATCTTAAGTTCTATAATTCTATCTCCAACTCTAGTAATTTTTACAACATTATCTTTCAAACTCTTATCTTTAATTACACCTACACCATTTCTAGTGCGACTCTTACCAGAATACCAAAGTTTAAAACCTAAATTATCAATCTCCTTAGCTTTTTCTCCCACCCACTTAGTTTCTTGAATACATAAGATATTAATTTTCCTATAAATCATAATATCAACTAATTCCATTAATTTGCCATTGAGAGTACCTATATTCCAAGATCCTATCCTAATATAGGTGAAAATTCAAAGAATGTGTTGTAACTTCTTGTAATTCAGTGAAGAACATTGGTGAGATCGTTCTAATTTTATTTACATTGGATTTTGCAATGAAATTTGCATTATTTCCATTAGTAATTAGTAGGACTTAAAAGTATTCTCTCCCTTAAATTGGATTCTATGCAAATTAATCTTGTTTTTGTAATGTGATCGTGTAAATTGATTTTATGTTGATAATTTAACATTTCGTATGTATTTACTGCTAAATTGATTACTCAAATGGTTATCTAGTACTACGAGAGTGGGCAAGTAGAACAATTAGATTAATTTACACTACTCTAAAATAATAGGAATATTGTTGTTAGGATGGTGCAATCGTGTAAAAAAATTTATAAATACTAGAGTTTTTGCATGATTAGAGGATTAACTATACGAAACCCAAATTTTCTTATGACCATCGGAACGCGCTAAGAAAAAATGTTGTTCCTGATTTTCAACTTCATTAGAATCATTTAGATAGACTTGATTTGCATAGGATCAATTCAAGAGAGATTTTCTATCACATATTCAAACTCAAAACTAGTTATAGGTTTTACTTTTCCAAAATTAAGATTATAAACTTTAAAATTGTCAAATTTCAAACATTTAAGCTAGACTCAAAACCAGTTGACAAAAACTTTTTTAGGCTTTGGGAGTTCGCTCGTTCCTTGCTGAATTTATACACAAACTCAGTTATGTATACAATTGGTTGGCATGTATACTTGCGTGTATTGTCGATGCTCCATAGCATTTCAGATATATCAAGTTTTTAGGTTCATTACCGAAGAATGACGTTGAATTTCCAATTTCAAGAAGATTTTAGTTGAACCATTAACAATTTAACTTGAAAATCATTATGAAGTATTTTTTCTATATTTTATTTGTTACTTTATGTTAGAAAGTCCAAAAAATATTGCTATGTTATTCCTTTGTATTGCTATGTTATTCCTGTTTTTACTAAAAATTCTTCTGTTTTATTTCTTTTTCAATGACATTTTGCTCGTGTATCATTTTGCTTGTGTATTGTGTTTTCTATTGACTTGAGTATCTAATTTGCTAGCTCTAGGATTGTATAAGTGGGACTAGACTAGCTGAACTTGTGCCTTAAGACCCTGAATTAGAGAATACCATAAAAAAAAATCAAAAAAGTTAAAGAACTCAAAAAGATTTTAGGAGAAATAACAAACTCAGCACGGAAAGAACACCTTAGACCTCTCCGAGAGTATGCCAATCCTTTGATAGAAGAAATACATTTCAGTATTATCAACCCTACTGTAGAAGTCAACTCATTTGAACTGAAACCAGCCATCATCAAGATGTTGCAAAACAATAAGTTTGAGGGCTCACCCACAGAAGACCCCAAACTCCACTCAGCCAGTTTCCAGAAATTTGTGTCACATTTAGAAATAAAGATGTTTCCAATGATGTTAATTGATTAAGGATTTTCCTTTTCAAAGTTAGGGATGAGGCCAAGATATGGCTCAACTCCTCAGCACCAAGATCAAGTACCACTGCCCAAAAAATTTCTAGTCAAATATTTCCCTCCATCCAAAACTACAAAACTTGGGAATGATCTCACCTCAATCATTCAATTAGATGGAGAAACAGTCTATGAAGCTTGATAGAGATTTAAGAGCATACTTGGGAAATCTCTCCACCGCGCCTTACTAGATTGGCTTAAAATTTAAACTTTTTATACAGGGCTGGTGATTTCATTGATGTCAATAACATATGCTGCAACTGGGGGTCACTTATGTCAAAGCTATTTGAGCAGGCTTATTCACTGATCGAGGAGATGATTACGAAAAATTTTCAAAGACATTCAGATAGAGTTAACCCTAGGAAGATAGTTAATGTGTATGACATAGATATGTTAGAAATCCTAACCTCGCAAGTGATTGATATTGCTAGAAAACTAAATAACATAGGCCTTAATTAGTGCAATGATCACTACCTAGTAATGAAATAACATACGAACCAAAAGGAGATTTTTATACTAATTCTTTAAAAACCTTGAATGTGATAGGAGATATAATTAATAACCCGTGTTCTAACACCTACAACTCAAATTGGAAAAATAACTCAAACTAGTATACAAAATTGAGTACATGTATCGGTCTCACAACGAGCAAATAAACTGCCAAAGTTCAAAACAAATCTAGCTCACTAATTTTGAGTCTAACCTGAAGGTTTAAAATTTGATAATCTTAAAGTTTTAATCCTAATTTTTTGCAAAAAGTAAGACCTACAAATAATTTTGAGTTTGAAAAAGTAATAGAAACCCTCCCTTAAATTTATCTTATACAAACCAAATATATCTAAGTGACGCTAACAAAATTGATAATCAGGAACAACAGTTTTCATTAGCTTATCTTGGTGGTCATAAGAAAATTAGGGTTTCAAATTAAATTTAGTCCCTTAACCATACAAAAAAATCCAGTATTTGTAGATTTCCCAACACAATTGCACCATCCTAACAGCAATATTCATATTTTCTTAAAGTAGTGTGAGTTAACTTAATTGTTTCACTACCCTACTCCCATATTACTACGTCAAAATTCATTTTAACATCTTAAGTAATCGGTTTAGGAGTAAATTAGATATATAAGGTTAAACTATCAACTTAAAATATAATTTACAATCACATAAGAAAAATGATATTAATTTGCATAGAATCCAATTCAAGGAAGACAAAAATTTAATTCCTACTCATTACGGATAAAAACAATACCGATTTCATTACAAAATCCAAAGTAAACAAAGTTAGAACAATCTTACCGATGTTCTTCAACGAATTATAAGAAATTACAACATAATTTCTAAATTTTCACCCACTTTGATTACAATAATTTCACACGCACTTATTTTTTCTCGGGACGACTCTTATAAACTCTCACACTCTCCCAAAGATCCCTCCAACGAAGCATGAATAAAGACTGACATAATTCTCTGGTGACTCCCTCACGTCTCTATCTTCTTCCTCATGATGTCACTCCAAAAGCTGAGCGTTGAAAATTTGTGAAGGAGAAAAGCCTCATTTACTTTGAATTGCTTTCTTCTATAGCCATAGGTCATCACGCAATGATGTCTTATCAACATGAACTATCCTAACTCCTGAAATGGTTAGTCGGCGTCGGAGTTCTTCCCAGGAGCGTCAAATTATCTGTAGCTCTATTTGCATTGCTTGTCACGCCCCCAGAAGGAGGTGCAAGGTTTCCCTAAAGTGGCGCAAAAGGTTCTCTGCTAATTGTATGTATCGTACGTGGGAAGCAAAAGAAGCAGCGTGACCCATGCCATAAGTAGTGTAAATACGCCAATGTCTCTTAAAGTGGTGCCTTAGTGCAACAATGTGATGCCTATGTGTCGTTTACATGGTTTGGTCTGGAGATGAAGTGTCATGTCTCATTTGGAATGGAATTGAGGTGTCACCCTTATGTTAGCTCCTCTACAAGATTAACGTATTATTAAGCACTCATGAATACTTGTAACCTACAATTACACACAAAAATACCAGAAAAAGCACAAATAGGGTACAAATAATAAAAGAAAATGCAGAAAAATATAGAAAAATATGTCACAAATTTCAAGCACATCAAGCGCATACAACATTCTTAACTCTTTGGATACCTCTAGCTTCAAACGGCATGATAAGTTCAATCAAAATGCTTCCAAAGCATACATAAATATAAACAACTTTTATGTTTAACATAGCCACAAGCGCACTCAAGATGCATACTTTTTGTGCAACAGCACATTAACAAATAAGCAAGTCTTTGGAGGAAATAATAATGGGGCATTTACATATATACTATACAATTCTTATAATTTACACATCTAATGCTTAAACTATCATATTTACATACATGAAGCCCGGATCTTTGACATCATATCAAAATACTGATATCATTAACTTTTTAAAAGTGATATATACCTTTTCAAATATAGGTTTTTAATTCCAAAGTGTTAAAAATGTAAATATCAAACTTTGTTAGAGATGTAAATGCATAAAAAATGTGTGCTGTTGATGTAAATTTCCCAATAATAATTAAACTTGGTGAGCAGAAGTGATAGGCAAGCAAGAACAAACTTACTAAGTAAAAACTAAAAGAAAAGACATTCAGGCAAAAGATTCTCGATAAGGACTTACTACGTACAACTCAGCTGCAGGTGCTCTCGAGTTTGTGCAATCTTCAAACATTTTCACAGCAGAATCAATTTCCCCACAAAGACAATAACACCTAAGTAAATTCAGTTTGAAAACCAAATTATAATCAACTAAAGAAAAACTTTAAACGAAACATAAAAGAAACAAAAACGAAGACAAAAAACAAGACAACAGAAGCATAACATAATAGGGAATCGACTGCACCAACGAGAATGTTATTAATGTAATATTCAGAGCCAACATCACTATATGATAATGCATAAAGCCATGGGAACCGCCATAAGGAACAATTTCTGAAAGAAAAATTAATTAAAGCTACTACATAAGTCTACCCAATAAAAAAGGTATTACAGAATCTATACAATATTTGGAAATAATTTCAAGGTTTTTCATACTCTAAAACAGGCCAATTGAAACAAAATGAATGGGAATTTTACTGTATTGTTATTATCACCTTCACGAATGTATCTAGGTGACCATCCTTTTGCAGCAATATCATATATGACTAAATAGGTATGCCTATCTAGCTTATACAATATTTGGAAATAATTTCAAGGTTTTTCATACTCTAAAACAGGCCAATTGAAACAAAATGAATGGGAATTTTACTGTATTGTTATTATTCCCTTCTCGCATGTTTTACAATTATTTATAAGATCTAGGTGACCATCCTTTTGCAGCAATATCATATATGACTAAATAGGTATGCCTATCTAGCTTATACAATATTTGGAAATAATTTCAAGGTTTTTCATACTCTAAAACAGGCCAATTGAAACAAAATGCATGGGAATTTTACTGTATTGTTATTATTCCCTTCTCGCATGTTTTACAATTATTTATAAGATCTAGTTGACCATCCTTTTGCAGCAATATCATATATGACTAAATAGGTATGCCTATCTAGCTTATTTTGATGATTAAAAAAAAATTTGGTAATACAAGTAAAACTGTGAATGGTAATTGCTTACACTAAGATGGTGCAAGAACTATGACAAATAAAAACTACATAATAAGACTAGCTCAAATACTAAAAAATTATACCATTATTGACATTCTAAATGTATACTTTGTTGCAACTTAGTGGGTCATTTGGTGCTGCTTTTTTATCGCGATCTAGTAGCAAAACGCGTAAAGGCCGTTTGGTTGTTGTAGTGAGCCTGCATTTTGGAAAAAACCATCTTAAATGTGGGCCGTGGGGTCGAACACGCGGCCGGCATTTCTTTGCAAACCTTTTATAGGCCTACCCCCCTAACACGCCTTGTTTTTCACTCTCGTGACCCGCTCTCCCCTCCCTCGTGATTCTTGCCCTAAAAGTAACATCGCCTCTCTCACTCATCTCCGATCCGTGGCTCTGATGGCTAGAGTTGGTTATGTTTGGTTCCTTCAATTCTGGTGGTTATCGCAGTGAGCTTGACTTTCTTTTCCTCTCCCTCTCCCCTCTATTCTTAGGCTCAGTTTGGATCATTTGCTCTCCGTCGCCCCACTATATTCTCTACTATTTTCTAGTCAAGCATTTTGATTTTGCGATTATCTTTGATTATTTGTGCTCTATTTGGTTGATGGTTTAGGTTCTCTGTCTTCTAACCAGTTGATGGTTTTCGGGTAGTTGTGCTATGACGTTAGATTTTGTGATTTTTTTGGGTTCACTGTACTGTATTCAGTTGATGGTTTGGGTTCTTTGTGATGTATTCGTTGATGAACTTGGGTTCTCTGTGCTCGATTCGGTCGATGGCTTGTAGTGGTAGTGTTGTGATGTTGGATTTTGTGATTTTATTGGGTTTTCTGTGTCATATTCGGTTTGATTGTTTGGCTTCTTTGTACTCTATTTGATTGATGGATTTGGGTGGTTGTGTTGTCATGTTGGTTGTTGCCTGAAATATGGTTGTGATGGTGGTTGCATGTGGAAATTAGTTGAAATACTTCGGGCTTTGTGGTTGTGTTGGTGAAGGTGGTAATTTTATGGTGGTTCCCAAAATGTTGAATTTTGCAATTATAGTGGTGTGTTGTGATGTTGGTGGTGTTTTCTAGAAAGATGGTGGTTTTGTTTTGATGTTGGTGGTTGCCCGAAATTTTGCGGTAGTTGTTCGTGGTGGCTGTGATCATGTGAATGTAGTGGTATTGGTATGATCTGATGATGGTGTGGTGTTGAGGCGGTGGTGTGTAGCGTAGAGGTGGTGGTGTGAAGGCGGAGGTGTTAGTGATGATAGTGGTGGTGGTGGTGATGGTATGGTGATGAGGCAGTGTTATGGTGGTGATAGTGTTAGTGTTGAGCCAGTGGTGATGATATGTTCATAGATATGTGATATGATGATAGATATGATGATGGGGGTTGTGATGTGGTGGTGGTGTTGCAGATGTTTCTTTTTTTTTTTTTTTTGTATCTCTCATAAATTTATATTGTTTAGTTATTTGCATGTTACTTGTCGTAACGGGCAAGACAAAAGAAATAGGTTCGTTTGCTACTTGAGATAAAGAGATGACATTAATATTTTGTGAGCTCTCTATTAAGGAGGTCGAATTAAGAAATCGGCCAACCACCTATTTTAAGAATGAAAATTGGCAAAATATAATAAAAAATTTTAAGAAAGCATAGGAAGATAATACGATAGAATGCAATTTAAAAACAAATGGAATCAGCTAAAAAAAGACTAGAAAATATGGAAAGAGCTAAAACAAGGATCCAAAGGTTTGGGTTGGATCCTATAAAGCGAAACATCGATGCTTCAAAAGAATGATGGACCGAGAGATTGGATGTGAGATTGTTTGAAACTTAAGATCATTTAAAATTTTTAAAGTTTTCATCGATCAATTTAATTTTTAGTAATTGATTTATAGGTCATATCAGCTACAAAAAAAATTCAAGTTTAGTGGCATTGATTCTGAGTTTGAAGATGAGTTGAATCGTATGTTTAGTATGGTGGTGGCCCCCAGTGATCAAGCATGGGCAGCAAGCTAGAGAGGGCACGGAGGCGGACCTGAGCATTTAGAAGTAGAGTAATCTATTAGGTTTAATGAGGGGTCCAACCCCAACCTAAATTAAGTAGGATCTACATGTCGATCCAAACGCCTAAGGGTAGAGAAAAAGAAAAAAGATGTTGCTGCTTTAATTGGAAGTCAGATCTCTCAATTAGTCACTTCATGCACCAGTGAGCCTAGCGAATCACATACTTCTATTCAACATGTTATGAGAATTTTGGAAGATACTCCAAAAATTGATGAAGATATGTCATTTTACTTGTTCTCCATGATGTTGTTAGAAGACCTGACCAGGAGTGAGTTTTTTATGTTGATGAAACCTAACCGTAGATTTAATTACTTGTGATATTACTACGACAATCAAATTGCGAGCATTTAATGTTATTTGTACATCTTCATGAGTGATTTTAACCATGGACATCATCTATTCTACTTTCATTATTGTGACGGACAAAATTAGAGAAGGTGACAGACAAAATTTGAGAAGGTGACGGACAAAATTAAAAAAAGTCGTCTTAGATGGTTTGGTTAAACTAAGCGTCGACCATTTGATGATCTGATTAGAAGAGTAGATGTTTTAGATTCTATTTATGTTAAGAAAGGCAGAGGTAAACCTACGAAGACTTGCGCTTATTGTATAAAAAATGATCTTAATTTATTAGAAATAAATGAAAATATGACACTAAATAGGATGCAATGGAGAACAAGGATTCATGTAGCCGAAGGATTCATGTAGCCGACCCCACCCCACATAGTGGGATTAAGGTTTTGTTGTTGTTGTTGTTGTTGTGGACATCTTCAATAAAGTTTTTGTAGTAGTGTTATTGATATACTACTTTTTATTTTTCATTGCAGTTCTATCTAATTCAGAGTTTCAAGTGTAAGCTTAATAAACAATAAATATCACAGATAGAGAAAGACACGAGAAAAATTGCAGCAGCATTATGTTTAATGTACGGATATTACAACTCATATGTTGCTCGATCTTCTTGCATGACATCTACGTACATAGCAGACAAGTGGGTTTGGGAGTTACTTGTGGGTTACCCCACAAGGTTTAACATGTTCCATATGACAGTTTATTTTTATTAATCTATTAAAAGAATTGAACATAAATCAAGAACTTCATAGTTCATCCGAGAAAACTTCAAGAGAGGTGTTAGCAACTGTCAACATTTTATCACATAATGAGTTGATAAGATGTATCATGGAGTGATTCCAACAGTAATTTGAAACAATCAACAGACATGTCTCAATTGGGCTAAATGCTTTGCTTAGCTCATTATCAAAAGTTATTGTACCTGAAGACCCCACATTCCAAAGCACACCCCTACCGATCTCACAGGACCAGCATTATATGTCATATTTTAAAATAGCTTAATGAGTTCATTTTTCTCTAAATTTGGTTGAACACAGTATCTCTAATATATTTGATAATTGTTTTAGGATTGTGTTGGAGCGATTGATGGTACACATATGGATGCATGTCTGCCCTACAGTGAAAAACTGCATGAATTGGACAATGCGATTCAGCAATAAAAAATGTGATTGTTGTATGTAATTTCAATATGTTTCACATTTGTAATGATCAGATGGGAAGACGGTGCACACAACATTCGTATTTCAATTTTGTTATGCGAACTCATATAACTTTTCCAAAGCCACTTCAAGGTTAGCTTGAATATTAACAAATGAAATATTAATATCCCGTGCAATATTGATGAGTAATATTACAACAGGAAAATATAATTTGGTTGACGCTGGATATCCATTACAAAAAATTTATCTCAAACTCTTTCCTGATACCAAATATCATATTCTCGATTTCAAAAGAGCTGACAACGTCACCCGAGGTAAAAAAGACATATTCAATAAGAGACACTCATCCTTACGATGTGCCATTGAAAGAATATTTAGAGTTTAGAAGAAGAAATTGATCATACTACGGGATATGCCGACATATCTGCTTCCTAAATAAGTGCAGATTGTGGTCATCACAATAGCTCTCAACAACTATATTCGGCGTCATCCTTCGCGCAACGACGTTGACTTCAATACGGCTGATGAAAATCATTTGCATGTCGTTGTTGAAGC